AGGATGGAGCATTGCACCCACCACCCCGCACCGCTGAGCACACTGCACGGTCGAGGGTGAGGGGGAGCAGGGGCAGTGGCACCCTTCTGCGGGCTGCACAAGCACTGCCCAGCTGGCCAGACGCAAGTGGGGGAGGGGGGGGGAAGCTTGCACACTGCTACTGCCACCACCCAGCACTAGGCCATCATAGAGGACAGTCTAGTTGTCCCCTATTGATATGAAACTGGACGCCTTTATTTTTCTCTTGAGGAGAGAAACAATAGAGGACATAAAAGGCATCAGGTTTTGTATCAATAGAGGACAGAGCAGCAGAAAACCAGAATGTCCTCTATGATGGCCACCCTACCCACCACCCTGCACTGCTGCTGCTCTACATCCAGCAGTGCACCCCCCCAGCTGGGGGTACACTTATTAAAAAAGGTTGAAAACCCCGGTTCTAAGCTTTGGAAATGGAAAGGAAACTTTGTGAGGCGGTTTATGGTTGCTCTCAAAAGGAAAGGCTTTGTCGAGGGCGTGGCAAGGTCACGATTTTCAGAAGCGACTGGTTATTCTGAGAGTCTAGTACTAAATACCTTAAAACAGACCAATATTCATAAGGGATCCAGCACCCAGGACCTTGTACTTTGTGGGGCTTGACTGGGGGGTGGGGAGGGAAGGGGAAAAGCAGGCCCCTATAAGAGGGGATTTCTTGTTGGACAAAAACTAAATAATGCATGTTAAGTGCAGGACAGGGGCCTGTTGCCTTTAAGAATTCTTAAGGACATGCTGACACGCATCCCTCAATCTTGGCCCTAGCGACTTGGCTTTTCTTCCATTTACATTGTACTTAGCTCTGGAAGACAAAACAGCTACTATCTTATCAGCTATTTATTCACTCAGGGCCTTGCAGGGGGAGTGAGGGAGCAATGTTCACCACAGAGGTGTTTAACCTCAGGACAGCTCAGGAAAGCCTCCTCTGCATTCTCCATAGACCAAAGTCAGAAAATCCCCATTCGCTTCTTTCCACCCTGCCTTCTTTGGAAGCAAAGTATCATTAGTACAAGCAGCTTCAAACAGGCACAGATGTACGAAGAGCTGCACAATGAGGGCTCCTATGTGATCTTCTGCTTATAGTCCTCGATACCCTGGAGAACAACCCCGCAGAGACACCAGAAGATGCTGGGTCTAATGACAGGGGATTAGACACAGTCCAGACAGACTCAGCATTCCCTCCGGAGCCCCCAAGACGCACAGAAGAAACAGGGGCAGCTGAAATGCCGAAGACATCATAGCATCATCCCAGTTGGTTTTCTTTGCCAAAATAATTTATAAGCTTGTGACAGGAAGACTGAACTGCCCAGGGCTTGACATGGTGCTTAAGGCAAGTTGGGGGCAAAGGAAACTTTTTTTCTCAAAACAGCATACAAAGTAAAACAAGATTCCAACAATACACGAACCACCAGCAATAGCCAATCCCAAGTTATAAGAGCCCTATTTTAAAGCCCCACCCTCAAGCTCCAAGTATTCTCTCAGTCCCACCTTTTGGGACAGTCTGCTTCTTTGAAGCCACCAAAACTTCACTTGCCATTTCAGGCAGGTTCACTGTAATGCAGGACTGTCCAGGGGGGAAATAATTAAATAAAAATACCCATGTGCAGAGTGGATTGTTGTGCAACTCAAGGCCGGTTTATTTTGGGTCACCTCACATCCGTCACGATGCACCTCATGTACATGCTCCCATATACCCCCTCATATTTGTATGTGTGCACATGTTATTGGACAAGCAACCCTGGCCCATTCAAAATTTGAGCAGACTTCCAGTGAGGCAACCCCTGGCAGGTCAGCTTTCCCGTTCAAAGAGTCACAGGAAAGCATTCTGACTGCAGACTCTGCAAACGTGGCAGCTCCAAAAAGGGCTACAATCACATCACAGGGGCAGAATATCCACCAAAATGGATACACATTCACAGATACACGGCACTCCTAAAATACACCCTAGCTAACTTTACTCATGCCAGGACGACTTGTGCTGCTAATGCAGAGGCCTCTGTGCCTGCATCATGCATAAGCAGCCCCCAGAGCTGTCCCTGGATTAGAGCAAACCTGAACAGTTTGAGTGAATCTTTACCATCATCTATATCCATATCCTTGCCATCATAACTGCAGGCAGGAATGGAAGCACATTCCCAGGCCAAGCAGTTTGAACCCCTGCTTACCCATGGTGATATGTTGGAATCTAGGTTTTCTGCTATCTGGGAGTTTGCACAAGGTGTTGGGGACTGGAGAGTCAGTGGCACATGCTCAACTGCATATACAAGAGGGTGGAGGAAAGACTGCAGTACCTTGTTTTCCGATTCAGTAGAGAAGATTGGTCTCCAGCCTTGCCTGCCTTGCCATGGTTTACCAGGGAAATGAGGGGAAGGGGAGGAGAATTTCTCCCCTCCAGAAACCAAATGGATAGATCAGCCTTGATAGAGAAAATCAAGGACAGCAAGCAGTTGGAGGAGACAGTTCTAGTGCATGTTGGATGAGCATAGAATAGCAGAGGGAAGATGCTCCGCTCATCAATGGGAGTGCCTTATAATGAAATGCCCTGCTGGTCTCACATTTTAGCTAGCCACATGTGCATCAGCTTGGAAAAGACTCAACAAATTGTGCGAAAGGCAGCTGCACATGAAGAAAGCTACAGAGGCAACCCCTTTAATAGGACAGTCTCTCTGTCGCATGGCAGTCACAAGAGTTGAGGGAAAGGGATTTGAAACAATGGCTCTGCAGTAGTTTCAGACCACATCTGGCCTATAAAGTTTTGTGGGAAAAGCTCAGTCAGGAAGGAGTGTGAAGAAACAACATGGCCAAGCCAATATAGTGGTGGTGGCAAAACTCCTGGTGTAGATGTGGTTCTGCCAACAGAAGAGAAGTAGTGATGCTATTCCAGCAGTGAAGCCCCTCCTATTGGCATATCCCATGTCTCCATTGGGGCTATACCATTTCAATGGCTGTTTGCTAGTGTTATAGCCATGATGGCCCACAGGAACATAGATCTTACTTTGTGCGCTGCCCTTACCAGCACAGGTGCACAATTCTTGTCCCACTCCCAGAAACAGCAAATTCTAAATGAAGGCTGCCCTCTGGCTATTCTCACCAGCAAAGCCTGCCAGATCACTCCAGTCTCTTTTTATATCCCAAAAGTTGCCCAATTACTCCCGAGGGCCCAGCAGTGTGCAAGTGCAAAGCGATTAGTGTCCAAGACCACAGAAGATTCAGTCTCATCACCCAGACCAGATCCCAACCAACATACCCAGAGCTGGCTGAGACAGTTTGTGCTGAGATACAGAACTCCAACTGCAGAGCTGCAGCTTCCCAAGATAGCAGTGGGCAGCCCCTGCCAGAGCAGCCATTCAGGAGCAACAGAAGACAGAGATACCTACTAGTTTTGACCACAGCCAAGCCCACCCACACTCTCCATTGTAAATCAAACACATCACTACTGCTCACTTCCTTCCTAGCAGAGGAGCCAAGGGAATAGAAAGGCATCTCCCTAAACCAATGGGCCAAGACCTATTGCACTGCTGCATCCAATTCCATGTGGAAGCTATGCTAGCCTTCCGCACCCAGCCCAGATACCCCCAGAATCTGCCTTGCCAAGACTGGCTGGACAAGTACCTCCCCTGCGCAACTGGTTGAAAAAGTCCTACAAAGTACAAGACAACAGGACAGCCCAGCTGTTCTCGCCTCCCTTTAACATCTTCCCTCCCTCCACAAACTGTTAAGCCTTCACTAATTTTGAGCCTCTGTTCTTCAGCAATAACCAGATGTTGACATCAAGTCAGTGGACTACAACAGAACCAACACTCCAGGATGAAGCCTAAGTAACTTGGAACAAACAAGGATTGAAGAACATGTCTTCCACTCGTCTAAGCTAGCCTAGTTCCTATGAAATCCCATGAGGTGCCCCCAGTTATGTTAGCTGAGGCTCTGGCCCCAAGTACCATGAAGCACCGATAGGTCAAGCAACTGGTTAAAGGATATGCAATGTTTTTCAGCTTTAGCTCCCTTGTGCAAATCCAACTGAGGATGTTAATGGCCAAGAGCTACATGTTATGCACCAGCCATCTACTGGCTTTTGCCAAACAAATATCCAAACATCTAGCCCCCTCATTGACAGTCACCAGAGGGGCTGAGGCCTAAACAGTCTGTGGAAACTGAACAATGCTGTGAGTTGGAGAGGAAACACCAGCTTGTCCTATAAACCTATAAGCAATAGGTTTATAGGACAAGCAGCTGTAGATATAGGGCTTCACATTCAGGGCTATCAATGCAGCCACTTTCACTGGCATTGAAGTCACATGAGCAAAAAAGAACCCTTCAATAATGTCCCTATTGTTGACTTATGGACTTTCAATACTGGTCACCTCTGAGACGAACCAGAAAGTGCCAGTTACTGATATGTCCACACTCATTCCTGCCCCCAAATACTACCACCACCATGCCACAGCTGCCAAGTATTTCCAAAGAAATAAAAAGCTAGGAGGTTGCCAAACCAGGTGCTGTTGCTATACTTGGGACCTGGAAACATCCTGGCTTCAGCTCCTCAGCTGCTCAGAGCATAGTCAGCACAAAACTGAGAGGGAGTAGAAGAGTGTCCAATTGGGGGTTGAGAACGAGGAACCTCCCAGCAGTTATTTGACCAGTAGCCGATGAAGTGCATCTGTGCAGATACTTTCTGCAGAATTCTAGCTACATTCACTTTGGCTGGGCTTTAGACCTATTTCTGGAAGCTTGGGGAAAAAAAAACCCTCCAGGGGAGGTGCTTTTCACTTTCAGTTCCATGCATGGGGCCTTTGGCTTGAATGCAAATTACTGACTGGGCCAACTCAAAGGTGAACTGCAGTCAGGACATCAGATCATATGACAGCACCTCACCCAGTTATGCATAGCAGGCTGCTTCCCTCCCCAGCCCACCCCAAAACGTTCACGTCTCAGAACAAGCACTGCTCCAGCAGTAAAAGCTGCACACTCACCCATCTTTGGAGAGATGGTGTCGGAAGAAGTCATTGGCCGCTAGCTTGATGGCCTTTTCTGGCGTCACTAGAGTCAGGTTCACCGCAGCCCCTGGGGAAGGAACAAGAGGAAAGGTGCACTGGAGCAGCCGGAAAAAGGACTTGATCACTGGATGGATTATGGAGTGCAGCGACTTCTGCAGTAGTGGGGTTTGCAACTTAAATCTAACCAGGAACAAAAAGGGGAGGTGGCAGGGGAAGGGTAGGGGACAGAATGTTTTTCCAAAGTACGTGAACACAAAAAACACTGACAGTCAATGGGTCTTTGTCCAAATCCCTTGGGCATGTGAAGATCTCACCAAAAGTCTCTTGGCTCCTTCTTCAACAAGCTCTTGAAGTTCCTGCTACGTTAGCAGAACCCACCTTGTATGTGTCTGTGCACACCCCCACAGCCTGATCCAAGAAAACTGAAACAAGCATTCTCAATGATTTCAGGGGACTTTTGATCAAGGTTCAAGGCAGAACAAGTTCCATGAGTTATAGCCCCATCCTGCCTTTGGAGACAGCTTCTTCCAAGTTTGGAGAAATCAAGATCTCCCCAGAAGAAGACTGGCATACAGGCAGTCCTCGAACTTACGACACAATTGGTTCCTGAAAACCAGGTCTTAATGTTGAAACGTTGCAACTCAGAACCAATTTTCTCATACAAAACAATGTTATAAACGGGAGATTGGTTCCTGAACCAAGGCCCGATACCCTATTTTCACCAAAAAATACCCCAGAATTTTGTACTTGATCAATTATAGATGAGTAATATAGCTACATTAATGTATTTCTACTGTAAACAGCAATCATACTGATTTGGAAGAACTTCTTTGAGGTGACTCTTGGCTGGAGTCTTCTAAGGAGTCTTGGCTGCAGGTTTTTCTGTAGTATCGTCTGCATTCTTAAAAAAAAAAAAAAGTGTCCAAGGAAGTCTGGACAGACGTTCTCCAGGGAGATGGGCAACACAGCGAACTTGTTCGCCGGTGTGGCTTGGCATCAGATCAAGTGTTGTAAAGTCAAAACTGACGTCATAAAGTTGAACCAGGGTGTCAATTTATAAACGTTGTAAGTGCAAAACATTGTAACATGAAATGTTGTAAGTCGAGGACTGCCTGTACTTAACTTGTTTTTACTCAAGTAATCTAGGGAGGTCAGGGGCTGTGGAAGGCTTGGGGACCAATTGAAAATCCACTGAAGTCAACAGGAGTGCCTCTACCAGGCTCTGAATCGAACCCTTAGGACAGAAAACTTCATTTCTCATTTCACCGTTGGGTGTCACCCTTACAACAGCCTCACAATGGCCTGGATCTAAAGGATATACACATGGCAAGCGCCCGGTCTGTAATAAATCACATAAAAGCACCAGAGGCCAGGCCTAGTCCCAGCCCACAGCAGAGGGCTGCATCCCTCTGCTCTGGTATGTCAACAGCACTTCACACTCCCACTACGTTTAAGTATTCTATTGTCGCCTGCAACAAATGGCAAATCCCTACATTGTTGCTGCCACAATGAACAGCCTGCACAGCTCTGTTTTCAGTCTGACAGCTATGAAGACCAGTATTAGTCAAACACAAGGGCATCCTAGCAGGTTTTAAGTCACCCTGGGTGTGGGTGGGGCAAAACAAAAGGAGTGGTGCAGCTTCATGCTTTGAGCAAATGTTTGCAATGTGTGGTTTGTGATTTCAGCCTCTTAGCACATTTTAGCTTGGAGGGAGACCTCTAATAGGTGGTCTTGCCCATTCCCATCCTGCACTGGGAGCAGCTTTGATTCTCAAGCCAAAATTATAAAATTATACAATTATTACTCATAATTATTAAAATTATAACCCCTCCCAACATAAATCTAAAGCTTCTAAAAATGTCTGCTAAATGACTAGCCCAAAACTAGATGGATCTGACATCAGAGCTGAGGCCAGAACACTGAGCACAGGACACAAAGCTGGGAACTTCATGTAACATCCTCTCCCTCCACCGTGTGGAAAGTCATTGTGAGGAAAGAGCCTTTAATGATCCCATCTGGTTAATTTAATAAGCCTTGCCTACTTCCGGCTGCCCTGAGTCTAAATTCACTACAGAAATCTTATGACACCTGCCTGGTAAGAAATGGGCAGGCCAATCTCTCTGCTACGTATTTGTAGTGATATGGCAGTCATTTAACTCACTGGATCTTGGTGGTGATTAGACCTGTAAGCACCTTGGATCTTGTATTCCCTTTAACTATATCTAGTAGCAATTTGTCTTCTCCTAAAGCCCTTGGACTTTTCAGGGCTCTAACTCTACCGGGCCTCAACTTGGTTCAGTGTAAAATCCTTCCCCAAACTATTATGCTCATACCTTTAGAGGAAGACAGTGATCCTCAGAGTTGAGCCTACAAGTCATCACCACGCATTCTCCCTGCTGGAGGAAGTATACATCCTCCTGCATTCCCTTCACCCTTCTTTCCCTCCAAGAGCCACTAACTACACATCCATACAGCAAATTCATATTGGCCCGATTTTCAGCCACGTGCACCAAAATTAAGTGCCTATTAGAGTGTCCTGGTATAAGCTCAAATTATTGACCAAGCTGCCAAGGGCCAGAAAATACAATGGACTTTCCAGAGGAGAAATTATTTTTTTATGATTTATTTTATTGGACCAACTGTGTTGTTGAGAGCACTACTGAACAAGCTTTTGATCAACAAGTGACCCGAGGAAGGGCATTTGTTGCCCAAAAGCTTTGTCCAACAACACTCCCAATTATACAGCTAGTCCAATCAAAAGATATCACAAAAAAATCTCTGCCTCTTGGACATTTCCTGGACCATCACGGCTACAGCACTCCAACCCAAATACACCTTTCCACACACAAGGGGAAAAAAAAATCTCCCAGCTTATATTTGTGCACAGGCTTCCAGGAGAAAAAGAGGCAGAAATCTAATGACAAGAGAGTTAATGGGATGGATTTTCATATGAAATACAGAAGCTCTCAAACTAATGAAGAAGCTTTGGGATTAATGTTGCCTCAACTGCAACTGGACAGAAAGGATGGAGAAAAAAATGTGACTATATACAATTTTTAAAAAGAGCCTGAGTTCTCTCTTAAATCTTTGCTATTCTCAGCAAAGCTGCTTAACAGAGAATGAATAATCCTTGTCCTCAATAACCCATAACAGACCTAAGTCCCCAAAGGAGGAGGAACAGAGTATATTATGAAGACAGTTTGGCAGTTGATAATGCAATCTCAAATTTGGCCAAACTCTCCCACGCTCTATACACCCCAAAAATGTTATCATGCATCCCCTATCACAGGTGGTTTAAGGCTTTTTCTTCTCTACCCCAAGTTCACGTTCAGAAGGCCTCCACAGAGAGCAGACAATACTACATGGATGTTAAGTGACAGCAGAGAACTGGAGGGCAGGATAAATTAAATACCATGACAAAAGTTTCAAGCGGTGGAAGTGTTACTAAGAATCTCAAATTTCCAGGCTTCGAAACAACAAAAGCAATAGCCTTATCCTTTTTGTAGTCCTGATGAATCTTCTATATGGGAATTTTACTTACAAACCTCAGAGGCTTTGTTATAAAAAAAGGTATATTTTATATTGAAACCCCATATCCTAGTAGCACCTTGCAAACTGGTACATGGACCAAGGTGTTTTCTTTTTGATCACTGGTGTGGTCCATGTGGTCTAAAAGAGCACAACAAGATCCCCCACCCTGTTGAATTAGTTCTATCAGGTTATAAGTAGACTGGTATTTTTTAGCACTGGGAAAGAAAAAAAGAGACAGTGCCACTAAAAAGACAAATCAGAAAAGACATGGAAAACAGGAAAGCAGGAGGACTATTAAAACAATGGGACTGTTCACTACCTAAGCTCTTGTAGCTAGAAATTCACATTATGTATCACTGACTAGGTAGGAATCTCAGTGGGCCAAACCTCCATATGATCATAATGTTTACACCCAGGGTGACTTTGGGGATTCTGTGCACCTGGATTTTAGAACAAAAAGAGGGGTGGGGGGAAGGATTTTGCAAGAGATGAGTGAACCCAGTCCAGTCCTAGCACGTACTTGGGCACGAATATTAGGCAGAAGTGCCATTGCCTTGGATTCAGATGTTTTTTGTTTAATTACAGTGAGTTTTGAGGTTTTGGCTAACTGGAGGAGTGGGGCACCTGCAGGCTTTCTGGCAAGGGGGTGGGGAAAAAAATCCAATTCAAACCAATGTGGCAAGACAGAACCAATATGTGCTGGGCAACTAGAAGTGTGGAGGTGGGGGTAGCAGAGAAACAGAGAGGGGTGCTGCTTACCACCCACACACACCTCTCTCACGGCGACCTGGGAAAGAAGAAAGCAGAATAAATAGAAAAATAACTGCCAAAATTATTAATGGGAGAGATTAAGACCTGAAACACTCTGGCTGGCCCAAGCTGCCAGGAATAGCTTTAGCAGGTATTGTGTGAACCAAGGGAGAGCGTGGAGGGTATTATTAGCAGAGGCCACAGGAGGCTGCCCAGTTTGCTGGAGCACTATTGTAATGCTTTGCTATAAAGACAGTTTGGCAAAGGGACAGCACCCTGCTCTACATCCAGAGAGCAGGGTGGGATGTGCTCATTCACCGTGTTTGTTCCTCAGCACTGAAGAGCTCATCCGAGTGCCTGTTCTGTGAATACTAGCATCGAGTCCCCCACCCTCTGGACAGACGGAAGTAGAACTGTGTACTACTTTATTACAACTAGGGACAGTTAGAGAAACCAAGATCAATGGACTCTGGATAAGGCCAGAAGTACCAGGATTGCCTTGTAACAGGTCAGACAGTTACTCGGCTCCGTCACCACATCCCGTTGTCTTGCAAAGTACCACAAGGTGACATGGAAACCCTTCCTTATTGAAGTTCAGTCTGATGCCCTATTATCCCCCACCTGCAGCTGGTAAACAGAGGCAGTTGGACAAGTGACTTGTCCAAGGTCATTCAGGAAGATACAGCAACCACAGTGCAACTCACACACTGGTATTGTGGCATTTCTCCTCTGTGCATCGACTTGGCTGGGTTGAAGGATTCTTTAGGTCTGGAAACAAAGCTGCCTGTTAGAAGGACTGCTTAGCCCCAAACTCCTGTTTTTCTCTCCTGTTTTCCAGAACAGCAGCAAACTTCTTTTAAAGCAGAATCAGATGCAATGAGCTGGATAATGGGTGGACTGGCTCCTCCTGGGCTGGATCCATGGGGTGGGTTGTCTCAGCCAGATGGCAGTGTACATCTGGAGGCACGTAGCAGTGTGTGGGTGAGAGTGGGTGGATTTGCTTGGCACAGCTTAACCTCGTTGGAAGCTTCTGCAGGGAGTGGAGAGCAGCCTGAAGCTGAATTCAACCCGGAGTAGAGGCCAAGCTGATTCCCCCCACTAAACCAGCCACATCCTCAGTCCCAGAGCCCCCAGCAGAGTGTAAGACTGCAGCCACTTTGTAACACTGCTACCTCCTTACTTCCACCCAGTGAGCTTTCTACCAAGCAGTGCCAACAGCAGCTAAAGCTGCACTTGACCTGGGTTTAAATCTAGGCCAGTTCATTTCTTTGTGGTATTATTGTTTATGATGGCTTTCTGCAAGGGCTCTTTTTTTCCCCTTAATTTTTTCTAGGAAATGCAGCTTCAGTGCTTCTGCCTCTGGTGAGATCTGAAATCGCTCATTTGTTGCAATTTCCCCAAGGACAAAACCACCACAAAAACCCAGCCCATGGAGAAGTGAGCATCACCAATGTCAGAATGTTTCATTAGGATCAGATCTGCCAGGGTTCTTCCAGGTTATTTGCTTCCCTGCCTAGGGACTGCTCTCTGCTCTGAAAAACAACCAATGCAACCAGCCAATCCATAGCAAGAATCAGCCCCGCCTCCTGTTCCTCCCATCGGGACCTGGACCCGAGACTGGCTGGTTTCAGCAGCCAATCTATTACCCTCATTACATCAAGCCATAGTATCCATGTATCCTTGGTAACCTAACAAAGCCCTGGCAAGATAGAGCACCCCTACAAGCAGCCAGGCTCAATGATATCTATATTCCCACTTAAACCTGGAGCAAGGATTCATTTAATCAAGCAATTAGAGTGCTCCTTTTTTATCTGTATCAGTGAACAAATACTACAATCAATGCTATATAAACACCTCAGAGAGAAAGATTTGCACACACTTGCAGTTATACACACAGCCACCAATGAACTCGATTCCAAGTCTAAATTAAACCAGTCAATCCCTATTAAAGGCAGAGACATTATTCCAGATTTTCTACCACTGGAAGATGAAAATTTGACCCTCTCACATGCATACACATATCCCTAATTACCTGTAGCTTTCAGGAAGGTCATGGGGCGTCTCTATCTCTATCAAAAAATAAGATGGTAGCCTGTGTCCACTAAGTTACTGTATGGATGAGTAGCCTGTGGAATTGGTTGCCACCAGAAATCCTAGGTCCAAGACATAAACGGGACAGAGGGAAAGGTGGTGGGAGGGAGGAGTGGATGGAAGATTGGGTGTCTGAAAGCCAAGCTAGGAGACAGTCAGAAGCCATGCTCCAACTCTTACCTCTATACATGCCGAAGTAACCTTCTGACCGGATTGTCTTAATGAGACAGTCAGACCTGCAACAAAGAGATATAGATAATCTCCAAGAGCTCAAAAAGTGGTGGTGCTGAGAGAAGAGCAAACATAAAAACGTGATTTTCATTTTTAGGTCGTCAGCAAAACTCAGAGCAGAGAAAGGAACAGCATGAGCCACTGAATCTGGGTCATTGTTAGGGCTTCCATAGCTCTTCCATACCTGGTTCACAGTGACTTTGAAGCAGTGACTCACCTTGTGCAAAGAAAGTCAGCTTTCTAAAACAGAGGGAGACAGGAGCCTAAAATACCACACACAAGATGCTCTAATGATCACTGCTGCTTGAGGAAAGGAAATAGAGCTCACTTTTAAACATCAATGGTTTGCACAGTACTAACTGTGTTCTATCACTTTAAAAGGCTTCATTGTCCTGTACTTTGGGAGTAGTTTAACAAATGGAAAGTTATCTATGGCCCAGTTTAAACCTCACTTAAAACAGTGAGAGATTGCTGTGGTCTTCAATGGGCTTGGCCTCAGATCCTCACACATGCATCAACAACAGCCTCATCTGAAGTACTGAAGTCAGTGGGTGTCTGGCAGCTTGCTTGAATAGGCACCAAGTAGATATCAGGGAACTGAAAAGTGCCACCCCTTAGTGTAAGCTTACGCCACCAAACCAGCCTCAAGGAGTGCACGGAGCATGTACAAAACATTCATACATGCACATGCCCATGCACATATATTCATATATGTCTAGAAAGTAGCTATATTCCCAGTCCAGAGAAGGGAGCACAGGAAGACAATGCACGTTTTACTGCCAGGGTTGAATTAAATTAGACTATGTAAGTAGGATGCATGTTGACTAAGGGCTGCTCCTTGGCTTAAAAGGGACTGGTGCTTGCGTCAGCAATGGGAGGGGGAAGGATGGAGAAGGGGAGACGGAAAGTGTGCTGCGTGTGTGTATGCATGTCTGCATGTGTATACACACGTGCAGTTCATCAGGAAAGAGCACTGTTAAGTACCAGTAGTACTAAAGGACATGTAGTTTATTAAACCAAGCATAAGCCTCAGAGAAGCCCAGTAACTGTAGGCAATGGGTCCCAAATGGTGTTCTGCAAGACCATACTATGGGGTCTGCTGCTAGTCTATGGATTGCATTGAGCACCCCTTCTCATTTAAAAGTTTGATAAGCTGCAAGAGGGTCAGAGATATTTAGATACATGACAGTGATCATTTCAGGATGGGAGCTGCTGATCTAAGGCGATCTTAATCTCTTCCTCTCAGTGGGGGTGTTGAGGAACCAAACAAGAACAAGGACAGATTCTCCTCAGATAGGAAGGCACTTGCATGACACACCACAGCCTACTGTCTCTCCGAAATAAGTGAGTAAAAAGGAGCCATAGCTAATTAAAATAATGAGGAACAATAGGACCTAGTGTATAGTAGCATCAAAAACACAGATCTCTTCAGCTTTCAGAAGCCACTGAAGCCAAGGGGCTTCCGCTTTTAAAAATACATCAACTAACCAGTCCACTTCAAAAGTCCTCACTCAAGCAGCAGCTCTTGTGGTTCAAAGAGAAGACAAGGCAACAGGGTAGCCACAGCTTTAAGGCTAGTCCATTGAATCTGGTAGGAGTCCAACTAGTTTCCAATTGAAAATTCAGGGCTCAGTTCAGAGCGTGGGTGCTCAACATTTTGAGCAAATCACTTTTTGTAACATGTTAAAGTACCCAAAAGTACTGGTCACTTAAAAGGTTAGGGCTCTGTCCTGCAGTCTACACACACAAGACTTGCCAGTGGTAGCAACCTTTTCATTTCTTTAAAGGGTTCTTGTCCTGGCCTGTTTGCACTGGACAGAGGGCTGACAGGTGTCATCTCTTAGTGGGATAACTTAGCACGAGACAGACCTCTCTCTTTCTGATCCTCATATTCAGGGGCTTTCCAGTTCAATCTTGAAAAAGCCTTCCTTTGACCTTGATGTTCCCCTGGCTGTTCAAATCTCAGTCAGATGCCAACAGTGTTGCAAAGCCTTACTTTAAAATGTAAATGTTACCTATTCCTTTGCTAACAGCCAGAGGTGTTGTCTGAAAAGAGATTGCAGGAATAAACTAACTAGCAGCTCCTCCTCATTCCTTATGTGACCGGTTACGCAACTGGCCACACTTCCATACTGTCCTGGTGTGAGGCTGTAGTAGACAACCAGACACAATAACAGCCTTCTTCCCTCAAAATCTGTATCTTCTTAGAACCAGCCTGTTGTGTGTGCTGAAGTGTTGTGTGTGCTGAAGGGTCAGGATGCACAACGTCATACATAGCATCTTACATGCCACAGGACCATCCAGAGGTGCTATATGCAGTTCTGCTGCCTGGCATACACCAGCAGGCCGGTCAGGGAGAAAAACTGTGGCAGAGACCAGCCTTCCCAGACTGTTGTGCACCAATGGATTCCATTTACAAAGCACAAAACAAGACACAGGGTGAGACATAAAGCCACAGTCTACAATGTACCTAGATAGGCAAACCAGACAAGCCACAGAGAGCTCTGCGAGCACCCAGGAAAACAGCAATCCATTGGATCAGGCCAGGGAGTGGAAAACTATGTTTTGTGGTTGCCGGATCAGGCGGACACGACAGCATCACAGCTGATGCCCACTCTGCATAGGCAACACCTTTCCCCTTTTGAAGCCATTTAAAATGACACCTGTCCATAGCCCTAGAGTGATGGGCTGGGTCCTTGGATCAAGCCAATGACATCACTTGATATCCAAGAGCAAAGGCTGTCTAGGAGTAGCTGGGCAAGGCAGTCTGCCTCCAGCCTGAGCTGATACTACCTGTAACACGAGGAGCTCAGAACCTCCTTTAATTATGGCAGCAAGGGCACAAAACTGCTCACAGAAAGGGAGAGGAA